AGAAGCCCGGTCCTTTCTGGGATCCTCCGCTGCTCTTTAAAGCTGCGCACCCCCAGTTCGCATCTGTGCGCGCCGCGATGCGCGTGGTCTGTAGACCTGGGGAGCTGGAGCAAAACAGCTCTGCACGAGCGGTCTGGGGAGAGGGCAGCCACGTCGCCCCCCGCGCAGGCGACTCCCTCAGGGTGGCCTGTGGCTGGGAGAGCAGCTAGTGCCTTGGGTCCTCTGCAGAGGAGCTGCTTCCAGCAGGGGCTCAGAGCTTTCTGCAGGGCAAATGGAGGGAGGTGGAGAGCTTTTTCTGGCTGAAATTTATGCTTCCTCCCTGGAAAGTAACTTTTTTTCCACTTCACAGAGTGCTCTTTTGCAACTCCAAGAGCAGGCAACCAGGCTTCCAGAGCAAACAGTTGCAAAAAGCATTTTTCCTTTCCTTTTTTTTTTTTTTTCCAATGAAAACTTCTAAAATGTCATTGCATGGCAGTGAGCAACTGTGCTGACACAGAGCTGAAGCGGTGTGGTCTGAAAAGGCCAAGTGGCTGGCTGGGAGGGAGGAGGCAGGCAGGCTTCTGCAGGAATCTCTCTTATGTAAACATTTTATTTTCTCGTTTCCAGTAGGTTTTTGCCTTGGCGCTTTAAGTGTTGTCTGCATTTTCTCACACACTGCCAGCTGTGGCTGTGCTCATGAGCACCGCAGGGTAGGGGCAGCCCAGGCAGTCCCTGGGAGGGGGGCATGGGCTGTTCTCTTGGCTTGGTCTTCGCTTTCTCTTTCCCCTTATTTGCAAGTGTGTAAATTACAAATCTGCAAAAGGGAAAACCTTTTAGTTGTTATGGTTCTAAGGCCACTGTAGCAGCTAAGCAGACCTGGCTTCTGACTAGGCAGCTCAGAGACATCCCCAGGATGCAGGGAGGCTATAAAGGGGATTGCTGGTGGAAACCGGTTCTAATCACAGTGCAGGTAGGGGCTGTCATACCCAGGCTTGTCATTTGTCAAAGCCAAGGAGCAGATGATGCGCTAGCTACTTCAGGAAGGAGCCTGGTTCCTCTCTTTGGTGGGGTAAAGGGCACTGAAAACTGACTTCAAGTCCTGGAATTGTCTTTTGTTTTGTTTTCCTGTGTGCTTTTGCCTCTATGCAGGATTTTGGTTACTCCATCTCAAAGAATCTTAAGTGCCTTTATGACAGGTACAGGCTGCAAGTCAGGAGAATAATAAGAAGGAAGAAATGAACCTGTTGCATTAGTTGTTGTGTTTTCTTTTCCAGACTAATTCTCAGAAGCTGTTGACTTTGTGACTACCATACACACATCCTGGAATACAGCTCACTGACAAAATCAGGATGAGAAGGGGTTAGTTTGTGCCAATTTCTATCACTGCCATATCTATCACTGTTCATGGCATGCTGTGGGAAAGAAAGATGGGCCTTGTCACTCTCCTCTGTGTCTTCCCTACTCTAGTGGAGCAGCTGTGAAGCTGAAGCTGTGCTTCACAGATCAGGAGCTGCCTCTCTCGGATAGGGTCCCACCAGCTGGAATGAGAGGCTGACCAGCTTCAGAGGGTCACACATGCAGGGCTCAGAAGGGCTCCAAGAGAGTCTGGTCCTAATCTTTGCAGTGAATCAGCATCTGGATGAGTTATTTAACATAGTGCAGGAGATTCTGCATCCTACATAACCTGTTTGATCACCACTTTGATATCTTTTACAATGTTTTTCTTCTTAGCCAAGCCAAATCATATTTACCCTTTGAACAGATTCCTCAGTGTCCATGAAGAACTGTGCACTTTCCCCCTTTCTCATGACTTCTACTGTATGCAGGCTCTTCTATTTTCTTCAATCTTACTCTTTTCAGCTTATCTTTTCTAGACTAAACACAGCCAGGTCTTTGAGTCTTTTCTTCCAGGACATGCTTTCTGAGCTCTTTTTTTTTTTTTTTAACCCTCCTCTTTTATTTTCCTTTTTCTTTCCACTCCAATATCTAGTTTTTGGATCTATTTTATACAGCACAGAATGCAGGCTGTTGGCTCAAGTCTTACGGGTGTGGAGTAGAGAGGAATCGCTACCTCTATGTCATGCATATAGCTTTAAGTATGTCCTGAGATGTCATTTTCCTCTCTTGTAGCAGGCTTACATTGCTGACACATAGCTACTTTTTGACTCGTGTGTCTTTTTTTTTCTCTTTCTCTCTCTCTCTCATTTAGTTTTGTCCTTACCTTTACTGAGATCAGTTTGACAGTACGCTGAAGTTAGATTTAGCATAAAATCTTGAGCTGGTTTGAATTGGTTATGTAGAGTTTTGTTTGTTTGGTTAAAAAAAAAGTGGGTTTCATATGGGGCAGTAGAGTTTATACTTGACCAGATGTTATACTGCCACAGAAGGTTTTCTCCACGGCTAGTGACTTCCTAAGTTTCTTCTTTAATCCTTCCTGCTCCTCCTGTCTGTGGTCATTATGCCTGGATCTCAGTGTCCTCCTTTTGGGAAGCTGAGCAGCCCTACCCGTTCGCTTCTCTTTGGTTGCTCACTGCAGTTGAGCCTTTTTCCTGCACTTCAGGCAGTGAGTTTAGGAGAGGATGGAGGCTTTAAACATTGTTTTTTTCTGAAGCTTTGCTCTGGGCTTGCTCACCCATGGGGTCAGGTGAGAACACTGCAGGGAGGGTGAGTGCAGCAGTGGGGGTAGAATGGCAACACTGCTCCTTTCAGATGCAGCCAGCCCCTAGATTAATACCTGCAACTTGAATATCACCTTGATGATTTGAGACCTTTTTCTGCTTTTCTGTTACTTAAATCTTTGTTATCTTTATCAATTTATCTTCTAGGTACTACAAACTGATCACTTAATTTGATCAAGCATCTTTTTGAGGACTGAAGTTACTGGTGTGTAACTCCTTAAGGCTTCTCCCTGGGGCTCCCCTCCCCCCCTCTTTTTTCTGTTTATTAAGGTAGGTGAGGCATGATGCTTCTCCAGCCTTCAGGGGCCTTCTCACATAATCTCTGCAAATCTTCAAAGATAGTCATTCCTGCCTCAGAGATTACTTCAGCTGCTTCCTTAAATGCTTTCAGATGAATACCGTAATTCCTTGCCTATCTACAGCTATTTCTTTAATCCATGCTTTTCCAACATAGTCCGTTTTCCTATTTCCTAATTAATTTTGATGGACACTTTTAATTTTTCTTCTGAAGACTGGAGGAGACACTTGTGCTCAACCTTTGAATCAGTTTCTTTCCTTTCTTGTTTGCCAATGAAAGTATGTTTTAGCTTTATTTTCCTCTTCTAACATGCCATCTTCTCTCCCCTTTTTGTTTTGTGAATGAGGGTTATTAGTAACAGCTCTGATTTAGTCTAAGAATCTAAATAACCAGTGCCCATCCAAGGAAGAGTGAAAATAGGGCAAGTATGTATGACACTTTCCTGGACCACTCAACCAACCTCCAGCTGTGTTTAGATATGGGGATTTCCTGAGTCTGATATGAGTTGTCTGACTAGGAGCAACCAATACCCTGGTGCTTCTCCTGTGAACTCCTGTGTCCTGCTAAATCCACATAAATTTTTCCACCCAACCAGTGTTTTTGGAGAAGTCCTACTATATGTTACCTGCCTATATTTGGCTATCTTTGGCATCATGCTTTTTTGTTTTGCAGCTGATCCTTGCTGGCTTCAGGTCATGAGCTTATGTCATTAGAAGTGACAATGAACAATCTAGCACTGTTCACCCTCTTTGGACCACTCTAATTTTATAGACTTCCATCCCGCTACCTCTCCAGGGGATGGAGCAACTGAGGCCTTTCCATCGGGTTGTTGCTGCATGCTCTCACAACTGCTCTCCTCTGCTCTTTTCAGAAATTGGCCAGCCCAGCTGAGAGCACATAGAAATGACAAAGCAAAAGCGTCTGCTTGATGGGACGCTCTGCTTGCTGCTGCTTGTGGCCTGTGAAGCGCATCAACTCTCAAAAGGTCATGTTGCCACTAGTTCCAGTCCTCTGTGTGAGAAGGAGGCAAAGTCCTGGGAAAGCCTTTTCAGTAGCGAGCGGCTGGATGCCTGGATCTGTTCCCTCATCGGCTCACTCATGGTGGGGCTGAGTGGGGTCTTCCCCTTGCTGGTGATCCCTTTTGAGACGGGAGCCGCTCTGCACTCAGAAGGTAAGGCTGCTACCTGCGTTAGTCTTTCTGATGCTGGCACAGGGATGAAGAGGACCTTGGATCATCCCAGGGTCACAGGAATACCGCTTTCTAAAGTAGACACAGTTCGTTGCCTTGGACCATACCCACCGATTTGGTAGGTTGGTTCTGGCTGGAGCAAAAAGGATCATTTGGGATGTGTGCCATGGGGAGTTGCTTGGTTCAGGACCCCCCACACCACTGTTTCAGCCAAGTGGTGCAAAGGCCTTTTCTTGAACTCCAGTCATTTTTCCCCTACTCTTCTTTGAAAACTTGGCTTGCAGATGTGTCTAATTTATGTTTCTTTGTGTAAAATCTCAGCTGGAGATGTTTTGGCTCCAGGCTGATTTATGATCATTTTTTGTTTCTTTTTTAGCTGGATCACATCGTTTGAAGCAGTTTTTGAGCTTTGCAATTGGTGGGCTACTGGGGAATGTGTTTCTGCACCTGCTTCCTGAAGCATGGGCCTACACATGCAGTGCAGCAGCAGGTATGAAATCCTGTATGCAGCTGTATGAAATCCCATCTATTGTGAAAACCATGAAATCCTTTCCCTGCTGAGAATCTGAGTCTGAGAAATGGAAAGGGATGGCTTGATTTTCCAGGCTCCACTGCACCTGTGTCCTGAGATTTCAGATCCTCTGTGGATCCATAGGTCCTTTATTTTTCTCCCTCTTCACAGCTCTAGCACTGTCTGTAGAACTGTCTTTTTTTTAGTCTCTTCCCTACCGTGGTTTCCCAGTGACTTTGCCTTCTTGCTGCAGCTTGTTTGCTTTTGCCAGACGGTCCTGAGCACAAAGTTTCTCATGACCCGTATATGCCCCACTACAGAGTTTTTTGTTGTTGTTCTTCCACTGTAACGCGACATCCATGTCTGTAGCCAGGCTGAATGGATGATTATCTCATGGGCTTGGCTGCAATTGAAAGAAAAGTTTATAGCTTTGGGCTTAATAACTTACGCAGGTGTGGCAGAAAGGGGAAAGTAAGGCTTGTAGCTCTGCTAATGGGGAGGGCTGTCCGGGCTTGCAGCTCAGTAGATCCAGCTGCAAGATTTTTGTTGATACCAGCAGGTAATATCCCCTTGCCTCTGAAGCTTAGAAATTCTTAGTACTGACAGCAGTTTTGGTTGTCCTACTGAAGCAAAGGGGAGCTGTCGGTTGCAGTCCCCTGAGATGAGGGCATCTCTTTAGACTGAGTAGATGAAATAATTTGCTGGGAGTTATGTTTGCTCCTTACTCCTCAAAAGAACAGTGGGAACACCTCCTATTTTTTCTTGTTATTTTGGGAATCTTAGTTAATCTACCGGGAACAGGATGGGTCCCTATGTGGGAAAACACTGCATCTTCCTTGATAGAATATCATGAAGTTTTCTCTCTTGTTCCTCAGGAGAAGGGCAGAGCTTTCAGCAGCAGAAACTTCTTGGTCTATGGGTCATCATTGGTCTGCTGACCTTCCTGGCATTAGAGAAGATCTTCCTAGAGAAAGAAGAGAAGGATTGCCCGGGTGTGGTGAGTAGCCAGAGGGGAGGGAGTACCACTGTGCTTGGTTTATGAGTCAGGCACTTAAGTCCTGTATTAAACACCTCATCTGTGCTATTGCCAGGTTCAGCAAACGGGCCCCAAGCTATGAATAGCTGCTTGTCAGCTTTTTGCTACTTCTTTGAGACCCAGCGTAGGCAAGCTCTTTCATCTTCAATCTTTGGTTTTGTGGTTTTATCTGAGATTTCTCATCTCTGAGTTGGTTTTGTTCTCTGTCATATGTGTAAAAGAGTACTCCCCTTTTATGTGGCCTGGGAGCTGGAGCCCTCTGCAGATGAAATTTTCTCAAGTGAGCTTTGGAGAATGACAGGTGACAAATGCATACTCCATATGGTGACCCTGACTCACTAGTGTGGGCTTCCTTTCTGTCTTGGAGTTCAGTGCTTCTCTGGAAGGCATTCCTCACTGCCCTCCTCTCCTGAGTGCAATCTTGACCACGCTCCTGTTTTGTGGAGCGGATATTGTGTGGAAGAAGAGACTTATGGTTGGCCAGGCTGTACGGAGCAGTGTTTCATGCAAGGGTCATCCTGCACCAAGCAGCGCCTTAACAAAGTAAGGGAAGGTAACTCCAGAACAGAAGAGCATGGCTAGTCCTTGCACAGCTTGTAGCATTAATTCCTGTTGACTGTTGAGTCCTCGTTGGGCCATGCTCTTTGAGAGATGACACTGCAGATCAGACACAGTGTAGCTAGATCTTACTCTGCCTTAACATGAGATTTTAAACTCTGAAAGGAATTTACCCTCCTAATATGAGAGAGCAAAGTCTCAGATGAACAGGTTGTGTTGTTTAGAAGCACACAATCCCAGCTAAAGAACAATTCTCTGAATTTAGTTATCCTGGTGCTCTGGAGAGAACGAGATTGTTTCTTCCTCTTTCTTCCCCTGCCTAGATGGGGTCAAGAGAAATTCAGCTCCATCTTTCCATTGGGATGTGACTCATAACCCTAAGGTCTGCTTTGGAACCAGTCTCTCTTGCTATTTTCTGTCTCCTTATAGTTGGGAAAGTCTTTGCTCATGTTGTCTAACAGTTAGTTAGTCAGTTAGCCTTATAGATGAAGATTAAATACATTAATTCCATTTTACTAATGTGACAAAAAGCTCTTTGATATCTGTCTCATCTCTTGTAGCTATAGCTATTAGAACGTGATACCAATGCTCCTGACTTCGGCTGTAGGGACAAGAGGATTAAGGTTGATGACAGGATTTCTCACCCCTATTCATGCTTTTTCTTGGGGACAAAAAAGTAGTGACGAGTTGTTTTTTTTCCCTAATTTAGGACTCTGGTTGTAAAGCACCAGAGGGGAAGATTCCCAATGGAAGTGTTTTTCCCCTTCAGAAGATGGCAGGCAGACCCCAAAAAGCAAGAATGGTTTCAGCTCAGTGTAATGGCTCCTCTCGCCAGTCTTGTCCAACAGATAACAGGATCAAGGTAAGACATCCACAAGCAAACTTCTAGATACTTTCTATTTTATGCTTTCTAAGGCAAATATAGAAAAGGAGTTCTCTGTGGTAAGTACTGTTACAGAGTAAGGAACTTGGCGTTCATGAGTTATGTTTGTTATTGTTCTTTCAAAATATTCAATGGAGTTATAATAGGTGGGAAATAGCAGACATACTGGAGAAAATCCGCCTTGCACCTCATTCAAGAAAGGCAAAATCAATTATCAGACATGTCTTCAAAATGGTCTGTTTCGACTGAATCCTGAGACCAAAATATATTTTGCACTTGCACATTTTTTTACATATATTGTCAGTATATATTATTTGTTTAAATTTTGGGGCAATGATTTCTCTTTTCTTCAATGTCTGTATTATAGCAGCTGTGAGCTGCAACTTCTTCTTCAGGCAACTTTTAGATGCATTTTGACAGTTAAAGCTATTCATTGTATAATTTAAGGGTTAAGTTTTTCAGATTAGTAAACATCTGCTCCCAGAAATGTCCCTTGTTCACTTCTATCTATGAACATGTGTTTCCCATCCTTTGAACAGGTGCTCATTTGATCCCATGGTGAGCTTAGTTCCATGAGCTAAACAGGCTGATTTTATTGTTGTTGTTTTTGTAGGTCTAATTCTCTGCTAATTTAGGTTCTTGAATCAACATGCTATGTTCTCAGGCAACCTGTAGTGTTGGGAGAAGGGGATATCAGCAAGCTCACAGGATTGCAGAGCTCGTAGGGCAGAGAAATTACTAGGCAGTGGCTAACCTTTAGGTTAGCTTTGCTTTCACTTTTGGTTTTATTTTACTGTCTGCACTGTGGGAGCTCTGCCTTGGTGAATATTAGAGAGAGTAGAAGACCACTTTTGTGAACGAGAACTTCCAACTTTAGTCTGAGAGCCCATAAAATTGTACAAGATCACAGGAGGGTAACTACAACAAGAAAATGTGGTTTCATGAACTAACCCAAACCTGGATATGTAGTCATCGGACGCTTTTCAGTTGTTCAATCTTTTCCTTTAAATCTGTTTTGCTGTAACTTTGTGGCTTTCAGCATATTTTTCACATAAATGTGTGTTAAGATTACTGTGTGTTTTTGGTATTTCTCATTCATGTTATCTGTACAAAAAAGAAGTTATTGCCCGCCTTGTCGCCTTTCTTTCTTTTCTTTTTTTTTTTCCTCCTCCTCCAGCAGACTCTTGCTTACTTTTATTCAGTCATAAGGTTGATTTGTATCAAAACTGGGAGATATAAAACCTAACTTCATCCCAAATTCCAATAAAATTAGAGCAGTATACAATCTACTTACAGCCATACATACAGCTGTATATAGTCTACACGGTCATACAGTTTGTGTTAAAACAGATTATTGTGTATTACAGAAATACAACAAAAATTGCCTATAACTTGGGACTAGATTAATACAGTCTCACTCAAAATATGTTCACTGCTGATTTACAATCTTTGTAAAGGACAGTTTTTTTTTTTTAAAAAAGGTGTATTTTAACATTTACAACTATTACTCTGCAGCTTAAATAACATGACTACATGAGGTCAGTGATACTAGGTAAACTGAATAACTTCATCAAAAGAGCTGAATTGTTAATGTTTCCATGCATGAAGGAAACATTCCAATTATGAAGCACTAGATTAAGAAGCAAAGAATGCAGATCACATTTACACCATAGGGACAGTTTCCAAGAAGTTAGTACCTTAGAAAAACTCCGTTCTTCCATTTTGATATAATCAGGAAGGTGGCGAGTGGGAAATACCAATTAAGGCAAAGGACAAGAGTTCCTCTTTCTTTACACTTGTAAAGAAATAGCTATATGACACTTTTTTTTTCCTCCCAGTAGCTGTCAGTATCGAAGGAATTACTAATAATTTTAACAGGACCAGGAAAGAGCTGAAATAGTTGCTTGAAGCTTAAAAAACACAGTAAAAAAGTGTTTTCCTTTAATCTTTAGGTCTATATAAGTGACAGTTTGGGGTGACTGTTAAAGTATGTAACCACCCTTGTGAGAATATATATGAATAGTTAGAAACTGAGTTTAAACAGTAGCAGACTAGAAATCAAACACAACTCAAACTGAGAGCAACTTAGCCGTGGATCAACTCAGAGACATAGTAGATTCTTTGTCGTTAGTGAGGTTTAAGCCATGATTTAGGCTGCTCTCTACAAAACACAGTATAGCTTAAGAAACAATTGGCTTTATGCAGAATTGAATGAGGTCCTTTTAATTGTGTTATGTAAAAGGTCAGTCTAGATGATTAGTAAGGGCCCTTTTAGCTCTAAGATCCTAAAATGTCTATTCATTCTTGCTAACTGTAAATAGGTACAAATTAACAACTATTGCAACAAGTTACATACATAGTTTTAACTGTTCCTTTCTACTTTGTGCGCATGTAATCAAAAGATCTTAATATTCTTTCTGGTAAGGGAGGAATTACCAAAGCTATCATGATATTCATGTCTTGTTACCTCTTTCACTAGGAAACAGTCATTCCATCTGTCTGTCCACCTGTTCTACCTTTTCCAATAACTTTTGAACCCATAATTAATTTTATCTGACTTCAATAGAGGATATAAGTCTCAGAGGTAATCAAATTTCTGCAACTTCCATAAAAAACAGGACATGAGTAGAGGAGAAATGCAAATTAATGTCCTTTGGAGGAAGAATTGGGGAAATGTATGTTTGGCAGAACTGACTTGATGACACATCAGCAATAAGAAAAGTCTTCCTGCCCTTATCTGGTGAGGAAGGGGCAGTCATGCAGTGCATAGGGGAAAAGGACACGCAGGAGAAACAGTATTGTTAGAAATAAGCAAGGTAGGTGCTTGCAAAGAAAAGAGAAACCCATAGCAAACCAGGCTCTTTTGGTTCCAGTATCTACTGAACACTTGCCTTTTATTTACTTATTATTTTTTTTTTCCTTTTAAGAAAAGAAGAGGGAAAAGGTACTATTTAAACAAACAAATAGTGGAATCACTGTTTAGGGCTTCCAAGATTAATAAGCTGCAATTGGTCATCTGTGGACCATATATATAAGAACTAGAGTGATAACGTTGTAGCTTAAACACTACAGGTGATAAGGGTCCTTTGCACCCAAATACAATTTGGTGCTTTCCTGCATTGCAGTTACTAGAATGATTTTACTTGTTGAGAGAATAGAGTACCTCTTCTTTGCTCATTCTTTCTTTTCCCCGCCATGCACAGTTGTCTTTGCTGATTTGTAGATGTATGTTTGATTGCACAGTGACATTAATTCTGCAGCATGCACATAAACACTTCATCTAGCTGCACTGTTTATGACTGAGGAGAACCTCCTATGAGATGTTCTCAGAATGTAAATGTCAAAGGCTCATAACTGTCAAATCAACCTAGTTTATATCTGAACACTCCTAAGGCTTTGCTTCTGTCAGTGACAGCTTTTGCCCAAGCCACTGACAAGAGAAAATCATAATGTTTTAATCATGAAGCTTTTTTCTCTTTTTATACCACTATATACAGTGGTATAGGGTGTGTGTAAAACTTACATGAATAACAATTACTACTCTGTGGGGAAAACCCAGTCATCTAAAATCCCAGCATGAAAAGGAGAAATTTTAGACAGTCACGTTAGTTCTCATTCCTCATTTTCAGTCTAAAACTGCTGTATGTTTTGCACATCTTATTTTTTTGTTCTCTTTTCTTACAAAAACATGAAGGGAATGTGTTCTGCATCCATTGTGGAGATGTTGTTTAGCTGACTATTTATTGTATTTAGGCCTGCTTAATAGGCCATTTTCTTATTTAATCATGGAGTGCTTTCAAAAACTTAGAGCCTTTGAAAATGTCTTGAGATTGTGCAGCAGAAAATGCTGTGCAGAAAGGTGGTGCCTTTTGAGGGAGAGACTTGACTGAAAGCCCCACCTGAGCTGCAGCTTATAGGTGGACGCTTTCTTTTATTTTACCACAGCATGGAGAAGGATGCCCCATGCAGAGGTCAACAGAAATGGAGAAGAAGACAAAAAAAAGTGTGCTGATGGCCTGATTATAAAACCCATCAGCACTTGTGTTCTTCCAGCTAAACTTTGGTGCCTGGTGCTATGGTGAAAGAAGAGGTTAATGCCCTAGTTTCTAGACTGTCTCTCCACCCACAAGTTGTTGCTGTGTAGCTGGAGCCAATGTGTGCCGGCTCAGTTGGTGCAGGAAAACACTGGTGGATTAGCTACCACCCAGAGTGGTGCACCATGTCTGCAGCCAGCACTCGGTAGTTTTTGTTAAACATGATGGGAAAACAGAAACTGTGAGCAAAAGGGCTGGGGTGGTATCCTTATATAGTTTTGCCCAAATAACCAGAATTTGTGTTGGAAGCACCCATAGGTATAGCACTGGTTAGCATGACAGGGAAGTCTAACATGGAGGCAGACTCATGTGGGGAAGGAAGTTGGCACATGCCTGCAGTTTTCAGAAATGTGTTTGTCAGCATGTGTATGCATATATGTGCTATCCAGCCTTCCAGTAGGTGGATTTTTGGTGACTGCCATCACTATCTTTTCTCTCCTTGTTCTTTCTTAAGGGAAAGCAAACCCACAAGCACAAGCTTTTTTAGTATAATGCCTGAAGTTTTGTTTAGTTATAAAAAGCAATTTCAGCAGCATTTGTTCTGCTGCACTATTCTTGCCAGCTCTTGAGGAGACATTTAATAGTTATATATTAAAATACATGACTAGAAGACTAGGTCAGATCGTATTTGAAGCCAGTCAACTGTGTAAATTACTGTTGCCTAAACTGGTTTGATTTACAGTCAGTGTATTCTTGTATTTTGTCTATCTTTTTCCTTTTTGCTTCTTTTGACTCTCTCTGTATCTGGACCTTCTTTGTCATTTGCCTTTTCTCTCTCTCCTCCTGTAAGGTAGATTTTCTAATTTTGGACAGTGCTTGTCTACCCTAAAACATCTTTTACTTTAAAACTGAATACAGCATTTAAGTTGTATCTGTGCAGTGATTTTCATCAGAAGTGCCACGTCCTGTTCAGTGTCATTTGATCATGGCTCCGTATAACCTGTGCCAGATCTTGCCTGGTGTTTTCTTTCATTTTGCGTGTCCTCCCTTATCAGGATTTCTTCCTTCTCTTTGCAGATCAGTGGATACCTCAATCTGTTGGCCAACACCATTGATAATTTTACACACGGCCTAGCAGTAGCAGCCAGTTTCCTGGTGAGCAGAAAGGTAAGGTTTCTGTTGCATACCATATATTGAACTGGAGATACCCGTCCTCAAGGGTGATGCAACATGCAAAAATACCAAAGATGTGAGGAATCCCTCCTATTTTCTGGAAGCTTCTGAGAACATGGAGAAGCATTTTCAGTAAGAAGCAGCCCTATCCTGGCCCTCTGAACCAGAGTATTTTCAGACTTTGGGAGATTTTTGTTCTTTGTACTGACATGTGGGGAAACGTTATCTCATCTGTCCTTTCACTGAGCACTGGTCACTTCCAAAGCCCGAGTAACAAGAGTCTTAATCTGGAGAATGGGGCCTTGACATGCTGAGGAAAGTCTCAGCCTTTCAGAATGAGGATTATTTCCTAATCAACTTCTCTTCTCTGCTGCAGGTTGGGCTCCTAACCACAACAGCAATTCTCCTGCATGAAATCCCACATGAGGTGAGGGGGCTTCTGTTCTGTTGTCCTGAAGGACTGGAGGGGCACTTCATCTTCTAAAAGAGAATGACTAAGTCTGACTAACATTTCCTTGTCCCTTGAAAAGATGCTTCTTCATGGAGACTGGCAAATAAGAAGTTAAAAGAAGTCCTGAAGCGCTTGTCTTGTTAAGGATGGCCTTTGTGTTTGGGGGATATTCATATCTGTTGACTGTTGGCTCTTGGTTTTCTTAGGTAGGGGACTTTGCAATCCTACTTCGGGCTGGGTTTGATCGCTGGAGTGCAGCCAAGATGCAGCTTTCCACAGCATTAGGGGGGATTCTAGGAACCTGCTTTGCAATATGTGCTCAGTCTCCAAAAGGGGCAGGTAAGGCTCTCTGGGGCTTCTGTGGGGAGGCCTGTGGCAGCCACGTGTAGATATTTGCCTTCTGTTTTCTCTTGTGATTTTGTCTCATGAGTAACAAAATCTTCTTGTATTTGTGCAGGGGAAACAGTTGCCTGGATTCTCCCTTTCACTTCTGGAGGATTTTTATATATCGCCTTGGTAAATGTTGTGCCTGACCTCCTGGAGGAAAAGAACCCTTGGTAAGTGCTCCTGTTTGGCAGCGGCCCTTCTTACTGCCCAGGGAGCAGGGATGTAACACTTCCCCATGCCTGTTTTGGGAGCACACGAATGACAGCTTTCCACATCCCATGGACAAGACTAGTATATAGACAGTGTTATGCTAGGTGTTGAGTTGGCGGGACTACAAAGATCCCGTAAAACTCCAGCTGGGTCAGCCCTAAAGATTTTGCTGGCCCAGTATGTTATCTGTGACAGTAGCCAGTAAGCATGTGCTTAAGGAAAGACTAGAGGAAGCAAGACAAGTGAAAAATCACAGAATGGCAGAAAAAATGAGGTTGGAAGGAGCCTCTGGAGGTTATCCAGTCCAACCTCCAGCTAGAGGAAGTTGCTCAGAACTGTGTCCAGCTGGGTGATCCCCTACCCTGCATAAGTTGGCTTCTGGCAACTGGTGGCTTTAGGGGCTGCTCAGCCCTTGGGCTTACACAGGCCTGTGTGTCTGATAACCATACATGGACGTATTCTTCATATGTTTCTCTAACTGCTTTTTGACCCTATCCATTACCTTGGGCTTTTTGACCCTAACCATTACCTTGGGCTTTTGCAATCTCCCTTTGTCAGCAAGTTTGCATTGTTTGACTGTGAAACTATGCTTCTTGCTATATGTTTTTTAGCTTCTTGCTTATCAGTTTCATTAGATGCTTCTGTGTTGCTGTGTGAGTCAAGAATAAAAGCTTGTTTCTCTTTATCATTCACCATTTCATAGTCTTTTATTGTATCCCATCTCAGTCATCTGTTTTCCACACCAGAAAATTCTGGTGCATTTGGCCTGGTTTCTCGAAGCCTGGCAGAGGTTGTGACCAGTTGCAGTCCAAATTCATCTGTACCATGGTAGAGACTCCCTCAGGCCTGCTGACAGAGCTGCTCATGAGTGAGAATATTTCAGTTGCAATGAGGCAGATTAGCTTAAATCAGTTTAACTAGGAACCTCAACTTCTTGGCTCAAGACCAAGACCTTTTGACCAAGATGGATAAAGTGCTCAGAAGATAACTCCACAGTTGTATCTGAGGAGGCAGGAACCTATGGTAGAGAAATGTCAATGGCAGCTGGGAGCATGCTTTTTGATTGATAACCTCTTGTGTGGGCACAGTTGCAGAGGCAGTGGGTGCATAGATGCTTTATTCCAGAATAAATTTGAAGTGATGCTAAATGAGTGGTAAAATTCATTAGCTTTTTTATTTTTGCAAGGTAGTTGTTCGCTGAACGAGGTTTCTGATCCATCTATGAACATGCTGCACAAGTGCTGGTGCTAGTGTAACAGAACGGGCAGGAATAGGCCTCTGGGTAGCTGCCTGATTTAATTGGCTTTTGTTGACTTGGAAAACTCAAATCAGTCCTTTCAGCTGAATAGAACAAATACGTTCCAGTTTATGGACCACTTTGTTTAGGGATGCTGAGGAAGAGTCTTAGCTGAGTGAATGACCTCTCACAACTGCTGTCTTGTCCTTGTGATGAATCTGGAAAAGCATAGAGCAAACCAGCCAAGAGCATCTATATTGCTGCCTATTGGGATTGGTCTGTGGTGCCTCCTAATTTTCCTGTTTCTTTCCCAGGAACTCCCTACAGCAAGTTCTACTCCTGTGTACAGGCATTACAGTCATGGTGCTGCTCTCGTTCACAACAGAGTGACCTCTGCACAGACTTCGCAACTCCTCCCAGGGACACTGCAGTGATTCTGAGTTGGCAAAGCAATAAGAACACTAATATTACTTCTTATGCGTGCATGTGTGGATCTCGCTGCTAGTATGAGAAGCAGGTGAGAAAGAGGTCTGGGTGTGCAGGACTTTATTCCCTGGCTCTCCTATCCCTGTTCTGCTAAAATCCCACACATCAGAGCTTCCTCTTTTATGGAGCAAAAGATGCTATGAGCAGAAATGAGCTGAACAACGACTCCATGGAGAATGGACAGTATTTCACTCAGTTCATTATGATGGAACTGCACCTCCCAAGCTCTTGTGTGAAAATGAGACATGATCCCTGTAACTGATGAAGAGGAAGTACATGTCCTACCACTCAAAGTGTTGAAGATGGAACAGGGATGGCAAACATCAAGAAATTAACAGCTTTAGCTAGAACTCCCTACCACCAGGAGTTTTGGCGCTACAAAATCCTGCACTGTAGGTAGTGGGGGAAAGGTCTATTTCCAACGCAATCTCTGGCTCTTCAATGAGCTCACTTGTTTCTAAAGGTAGCATTAGCCTTGGTAGTCCACCTTTTTGGCTTATTTTGTATTCATTTATGTTGAAATTGAGCCAGAAACTTGAGGCATTTTGGGCAGTTCACAAGTGGCTCAGCGTGAACATTATTTGCCCCAGCCCTAACCACTCCAGTAACCAGCATGGCGTAGCTGTTTATCAGAAAAATGGTCAGCAAGTATTTCTTCTATTGCTAGACTATCAGCCCACCTGTATCTGGAAGGAAAGTCGTGGAGTTGCTGCTACTGACCTCCCTCTCCACCTCCTCCCCTTAAGCATTAGCTGAGTGTGGCTCTGAGCCTGCTCTCAAGACCTGTCTCCCCAGCCAGGTTCCCCAAGCCAAGTCTCAGAGCTCTCTTGAGGTGGAGAGGCTGGCATGTTAGCCTTGTCCAGCATGCTGGAGCAACTGGAGGCTGAGGTTTAGGCAAGGGCTGAACAAAGCACAGCCTGGTCAGCTACAGGAACTCAAGGCTGGCTCTTCCACTGCTCAATGTAGCGTATTTAGGAATATGCTGTAACCAAAAAAAAAAATATGGATAGTAGTTTAGTTCTGGGCTGTTTACCTCACAATGGAGTTACAGTCTGCCAGGGACAAATGGGTAAGAAATAATACTGACAGTATTTTCTTAAAGGAAAGAAAAAAAATCAAAGAACCCAGGAAGGGGAAAATGTAGAGTGTGAAACTGCTGGTGAAAAGATTAAAGATGAAACTAAGAAAGCTAAATCTGCTAAGTAAAGAGAGAACAGGGTATGAAAGGGTGGCAGTAAGTAGGCTTTAGTAGTTTGATGATGTGTGACGCTTGGGATTCAATTTGTTGACAATCTGAGATCAATAAAAACAAATGATGTTTCCATTTTTTTTGTGTGTGCATCCCAGCTAACAGACTGACCAGGCTCCCCCTTCCAATGGGAGATTTTAGTGCTACAGAGATCTGTGCAATTGCTTGCTCATCCCTTCCACAGAGGTCATCCTTGCTCTACATAAATCTGTTAAAGTGACCTTACTGGATGCAAAACAAGTGCTACAATGTGAGTTGCACCAGTTCAGCTCTGTCTTTAAAAAGGTTTTGTAAATGAGTATAGCTCTCCAGGATGGACAGGGCTAGTCTCTTTAGAGGGTTATCTGGCTCAGAGCAACGAGGCAGGTATTCTGCCTGTAGCAGAGGCACTAACTTCTCAGAGAGATTCCTTGTTGACACTGTTCTATTTTTATGACTGCTCCTGCCCTACTTTTTGGAGAGAGCTGGAGAACTTGTGTTTGCTGTTCTCTCTGCCTCAGTACTGCTGTCTAAAATCTGTTCAGCTCTCCTCGCTGGTAGGTTTACATCACTAACTAGCTTCGCTGTAGCAATTAGAGAGACATTTTTCTTTATAATGAAGTTGCCCTCCTTTTACAACTACTGCCTCTATTATCCCTTTGTCACAAAGTCTGAATCTAGCATCCACTTCCTGTTTTCCTGGGGGGAGGATTCATCAGATTAGCCTGTGGGGAGCATATTAAGCCCTCATTCTAGTACTTTGTATTTTTTTTTCCTTGGAGATGGAAGTTAACCAGACCCTGCTGTAGCAGTCTGAAGGAAGCAAGTTTGCATAGAAAGAAAAGCCTACTCT